TCATTCGAAAATGTATGCAGCGTACCACCCCAACTGTGGGTCAGGTGTGTCGCCGGCTGAGGGATAGAAAAGAGACAACGACGCACATAGTCCACAACCTCAAATAGCATCTTTGGTTACTGTGAACAATGAGGTCGAGCCAGATGCTCGACTCTGGAGGACCCTTTAGCTCCCCTTGACACGGCGTCAGCACCTGTCAATGGAACATAATTGTCCCTAACCTCCACTCATTCTAACCAGACACAGAGAGTGAGAAAGACCTTGGAAACTATTGGAGCTGCTCTATGATCACACAGTATTGATGCATTACGAATTTCTCTGTCGTTTAATTAAAATATGCGTGTGGTCACTGTATCTTAACTACTTTGATGACAAGCACCAAACAGGAGGTGCACAGTAAAATACTGGATGAACAAGGAAAAGCAAACCAGCTTTTTCACATCTAAAAAGCAACTGTATGCTTACATACAGTTGAATGCTGATGATTTTAAAAGCAAATATGGTTTTGTAATTCAAATAATCATTCCTTGCATTTATTTATGTATAAACTTCATTTTTCATTCTGAGCTATCTTTAAGCAGCATAGAGCTGTGCAGCACTTTCTACCCCTACAGTGCAGATTTTCATTCGGAGGCTGGTTTATCTGCAGTTGCAAAATAAAAATAAAATAAATATTTATTGAGTACCTAGAAATTACAAAGCATTGTGCAAATACTTATTCTCTCTCAGTTTTCTTTAATTTTCTTTCACTAAAAGAAATAGTCCGGGCAGGCTTGTCTCATTTCCAACAGACTACTGCACAGTATCTCATGCATTTTTATTAATTACTGATTTTATTTATCTATTTGTTTTATCTGCCAGAGGGCTCATACACCCACCAGAGAGAAAGCAAGCATCCTCCCTGGGCATGGCAACACCGGCGAATGCATCTCATCAGGATTCTGGGCATGCGCACATGCTGGAGACAGGATTTCAACAGCACAGTCGGCCACGTGGGATTCAGCTTAACCAGGCCACATGGCCAACCATCCGGTGCCTTCTACCATCACAGGTTTTGTTCCTAGACTCACATGGTAATGAAAACACTCTTGGAAAATCTCTCCACGAAAGTTCTGTTTTGTTTTTGTTTTTGTTTTGCCACTCAAAAACTTTTCAATGAGGTGACTTAGAAGGAGAAAAGGGATAGTTGAGAAGAGTCTTTTTTTTCAATGAGGTGACTTAGAAGGTAAATATTTATTGAGTACCTAGAAATTACAAAGCATTGTGCAAATACTTATTCTCTCTCAGTTTTCTTTAATTTTCTTTCACTAAAAGAAATAGTCCGGGCAGGCTTGTCTCATTTCCAACAGACTACTGCACAGTATCTCATGCATTTTTATTAATTACTGATTTTATTTATCTATTTGTTTTATCTGCCAGAGGGCTCATACACCCACCAGAGAGAAAGCAAGCATCCTCCCTGGGCATGGCAACACCGGCGAATGCATCTCATCAGGATTCTGGGCATGCGCACATGCTGGAGACAGGATTTCAACAGCACAGTCGGCCACGTGGGATTCAGCTTAACCAGGCCACATGGCCAACCATCCGGTGCCTTCTACCATCACAGGTTTTGTTCCTAGACTCACATGGTAATGAAAACACTCTTGGAAAATCTCTCCACGAAAGTTCTGTTCTGTTTTTGTTTTTGTTTTGCCACTCAAAAACTTTTCAATGAGGTGACTTAGAAGGAGAAAAGGGATAGTTGAGAAGAGTCTTTTTTTTCAATGAGGTGACTTAGAAGGAGAAAAGGGATAGTTGAGAAGAGTCTTTTTTCCCCCCCAAATAAGAGGAGGACTGGAACGAGAGGGAGGGAGGGGAGGGAGAAAGGGGAGGAAAACCTTTTTGACGTGGTGTCCCCAGGGGCCACGCTGCAGAACATTGCTGAACATGAAGGGACACCACCGACACAGCAGCCTTCAGAGAAACCCCTCGGAAGAGGAAGTGGCTCGGGTCTGGGGAGGCCTACACCACGGAAGGCTCCTCTTCACACACTTCCTCTGCCAGCCGCGGCACCCTGCTTGCCACTGAAGGGGCCTGCTACCCCGTTACTTCTCTGTCCTCAGCCTAGACGGTGAGTGCCCACTCATCTCGCGAAGCTTTTTTACATTCAGTCTTATCCTCAGCCTCTAGCCCTGTAAATGCTCGAGTGAAACACCTCCTTATGAGAACACAGTTTTTAGCGGGGTGGGGTGACCGAGTAGGCTCTCAGCGACCTGCTACTACTGCTCTGTCTAAATGCTCAAGTGAAACACCTCCTTATGAGAACACAGTTTTAGCGGGGGTGGGGTGACCTGCTGCTGCTCTCCTGTTTGTTTTCAGGTTTTTGCCATAGGGCACATGTGCTCACCAGAGGGCGACAGAGGGGGAAAGCGAGAAATCAGCCCCTCCTCTACCCACCGGGGCAATGGCCATGTCACAATCCCTTCCCCTCCAATCTCTTCTCAGGATTTTGGACACACACGCACTCATGCCTAGTGTGATTTTCAAGCCACTGGACCTAGACTTAGGACCACAGTCAACCATGTGAGAATCCAGCACCTCAACCACCTCTACCCCACCTGCTGGCCCACATGTTGCTATTCTTAATAATCATTTATCTTTTCAGTATATGTACTAAATGATTTTTTAAGAGAGATTTTTATTATAGGGCACATGTGCTCGCCAGAGAGACAAAGAGAGACAGAAAGCAAGAAATCACCCCCCAAGGGGAATGGCCAAATCCTTTCCCCTCCATTCTCCTCTCGGGATCCTGAGCACATATGCACATGCATCTGGTGTGAGTTTGAAGCCACTGGGTCCAGGACTGTAACCTCAGTGGGTCATGTGGGAGTCCAGCGACGTAACCATTACGCCATTGCCTGGTCCCTGTACTAAATCATTTAAAACATTATTTCATTAGGAAATACAGAAGGAGATTTGGAACCTAGAGAATGGCTCGTTTAGATATTTATAAAAATTCAAAGTTAACCTTCCACAGTAACACTAAGCAGTAGGTGGAATTTTTCATTTTCTAAGGCTGTACTCAGATATCCAATATTCTTACATTACATTATTCTTCATTAGACAGCAAGTTGAAACTTATCATTATTGATGACGCACTTTAAGCAAAGTTCAGCCACACTTTAGAAAGTGTTAAATATCCCAACTGTTTCAAACGCCTCAGGTTTATAGCTCTGTTCTGGATGTTAAGTGCTATGATTGCTTTGGGAAGAAAATGCCTGTCTCTGTTCTATTTTAATTACTCTTCCCCTTTCCTCTCTAGCCACACATTCATACACACTTCAAAAACCATTTTAAACTTCACTGATAAGCCCATTCTTTTTAGATTCATCTCTTTTTATTATTAAAAAACTATAAGAAAATCATAAAAACCTCTAAAAATCAGAGTGAGAAAATGACAAGGGGAAGGGATCCTCAAACGTTTCATAGAACGTGCATATTATGAAAAACTGCATGGATTTTAAACAATGTTTTGTGCCAAAATGCTTGAATTTCAATTCCATTTTTCCACAAGTTTTTTGAAGTCCCTTCATACTATACTTCAAGCACCATAACATTTTAATAATGTAAACATAGTAGCATTGCTACACTAATAAAATATCCCAATATTTTGTGTTTTTAATACAAGTTATTAATATAGTCAAAATCATCTATAAACTAATTGCCACCATGAAAACAATATTTATAATAGAGAGAAATCAATTTTGGCCAAGCATAAATCTACTCAAAACCAAAATAAAATATCAGGTTATCAGACAAGAAATCACAATGCATTCTTCCATGTTTTCCTATGCAAAAATGCATCACAACTTTTCCAACAGCCCAACAGTTCTACGATATTTAAATCAAATACATTTTTTAATAATTATTTATTGTATTTTATTTATTCATTCACTTATTTTTTTAATTTGACCAAAGAGAGACAGAGGGTGAGAGTGAGAGAGAGAGGAAGTGAGAAAGCAAGCCACCAGATTCAGGACTTGAACCTTGGTCGGCCATGTGGGAGTGTCCAGCACCTTAACCACCATGCCACCTGCTGGTCCCCTCAAATACATTAATATATAGTCAGTGTGATGAAAAATTGACTTCACATCTCAGTTGTGCCTTTTCCCCCATAAATACAACTGCCTTGTGTAAGCAGTCTCTATGAGAACGGCACACGAAGGGAACACGCCTAAAGAAAGTTACTGCTCAGAAAACTCGAGGCAGCGTGCGCTCAAATCCCAGGAAGACAATGGCAAGTGCCGTGCACTCCCGCTCTAGCCCGGTTCCCAGGGTCTCCACCGGCAGGGACCCTCAGTCCGCTACGAGGCCTTCATGCTGTGAGTGCTCCGCGAGAGCCGGGGTGTGAGCGCCAAGCCCAGGCCACTGCCTTCCCCACTCTGCACACAGGCACTGTCGTGGCACTTAATTTTGTAAAATGAAACAAAATCAGTTATCTTTGAAATACACACGAATATGTTTTTCTGATCATTAATAATGACTGTCAGATAAAGTCAAGTATAATAATGACTTCTGCATTTTTAATGTGGTTCTATCTAAATCAAATTCTCAAAATGTCCCTTCCAAGTTCTTTTTTTTTGAGTCAAGGATCTTTCTTTCATATTTATTTCATCTCTAACTTAATTTACCTTTTTAAACAGAATAAAACTCTGACAGAATTAAGATGCTAATATTTGATTACTTGATATTTTGTTTTCTAGACTGCATTCAGTGCTAGTTCTTTGGTCATAATAAGACAGAAAAAGGCTGTTTAAAAATCAGTCCCCACTCAGGTGGGGGAGGAGCCCAGGCAGGAGGTGATGAGCTGCCACATGGGGGGCCACAGGGAAGGTCTCCCTGTGCCTGCCCTGGCGGGGTGCCCCTTCCTCGCCCCCTCACCTCTGTCTCTATCTGTCTCTTCCATGGAAGAAAACAAAAAACAAACCAGTCCACACTGACTGTGAAGGAGGTCTTACCTTCTGATTTGCTGGTTTTCCTCTTCAGCCATTTCTCTACAGTCTCTGCGCTAACACTCTCAGATACAAATTCGTCTAATACCTGGGGGTGAAGAGAAAGATATGCCTTCACTTTTTCATCTGTTAAACCTGTAAGAGAATTGGAAAGAATGAATTCACCTATACAACATCTTCATACATGTGAAAGATACAGAACAATGGTGCAGCATGCTAGAGCCCAGTAACCTCATTACATATTTTACCACGAGAAAAGCTGTCTTTAAAAAAAGAACATAAATCTGGAACTTAAGCAATTTATTTATTTATTTATTGGAGAGGTTTTTGCTATAGGGCGCTCACCAGAAAGACAGAGAGAGATAGAGACAGGGAGTAATCACCCCCCAGGGGGGATGGCCACGTCGCAATCTCTTCTCCTGCATTCTCTTCCTGGGATCTTGGGCACGAATGCACATGCGCCTGGGGTGAGTTTAAGCCAGCGGGTCCGGGACTCGAACCGCGGTCGACTATGTGCGAGTCCAGCGACATAGCCATTATGCCAACTGCTGGTCCCGGAACTTAAGCAATTTAAAAGTATAAATATTACATCTTACTACACAGCTGTTTTCCAATAGTAAATTTCAGAGTTATATATAAAGTCATGTTGGCATCCAATGTGGTGCTTTAAGGCTTATAACGTATTTATTACTTTTCATAACTTGTTACCAGAGATTAGTATTCAAATGCAAGTGAACTCTAGAAATAGTATCTCACAGGAGAATTAACACTGGGACGTTACCGACGCTAAAAAATGTGTAATGAATAAATGAATAATAAATTCTTATGTCTCATTTTCTTATAAACGCGAACTCTTCCTTTTTCTCAGGGGCATTAAACCCAGTGGTAAAAGTAATGCTCAATTCAAAATGGTCTCAACATTTGTTCATTGATAAGCTATGTACAAAGTCAGTTTCACTGAAACAATTTTCACAATCTTAAAAGACCTGCTGAGCCTATATAGCAGTTTCAAATGAAGTGCTTTTCCAAGTTTTCATACTGAACACATAAAACGACACATTTTAATATGGTGCTTCGTGTTGTATGTCACTTCATTACATAATCCCAATACAAACAGCAGATGAGTAATTATGCTCAGGGACAGTCATTATTTTTACTACTGTGTCTTCTCTGTGAATTATTTCAATAAATTACCCTGCCTAGGGACAGTTAGGTGAATAAGGCAATGGCGAATTTAATTTCAAGATAGAAAAGAAGGAAAGGAAGCATATCTTTTAAACTCCAGGGAGTAAGCTGTATGTTTTCCCAGACAGAGCACAGAATTCATACGTGTTAATACATTCTGCTGGGAACTAAAGTCTCAACTGTTAGGATTCTACAACAGAATGCTGTCACTGAGAAGGCAAATTACTTCTCTGAATAAGATTAGCACATAGTCGATCTGAGCATATGTATATGTGGCCACATAAGTACACATATATGTGTATTACGTAATACATTCAATAGTTGTAATAGAGAAAAGAAAAATGAGAAGCCTGTCTACACTCACCTTGCAAAAGAGCCCAGGTGGTGTAAAACTGAGTTTGAACATTTGACAAGGTGCTAAGAATAAGAGACTCTCCTGACAGAGTGAGTCTAGGACCGGAATGCCAAAGTAAACTGATCACAGACTTGACCTTCAAGAAGACGGCCAGTGCAAACTTCGTCCTCTCTTTGCTATGCCCTCTAGGGTGGGACACACTCATTACGTGACTCCTTCCAGCCCCATCATGGCCACAGCACGCTGCGTGGTCCTGTGCGAATGTCCCAGCGCTCTGACTTCTACTTTATCTTCCAATGATCCAAGTTGACACCAAAATTTAAATTAGGAATCTCAATATATGTTTATCATTATAACTTTTTATTTATATTTACTAGCTGTGGATATTATGGGGTACAGTGGTGTGGTTTTTATACGGACACACTGTGTAATGATCAGCTCAGGGCAATAAACACATCCACCTTCCCAAACAGTTATCATCGTTTCGTATTGCAGACATGACGAATCCACAGTTACGGTTCTCCTGAAATCGACATTAAACTGTCACCAAGGATCACTGCTGCACCATGCAGAGCACTCTGGAGTTGTTCCGCCATCTCCCTGCACCCGTGCCTATAACTGAGCTCTCCCCACCCACTCTGCTACCTGTTCCAGCTTCTGGTGTGCACCGTTACTCCCTATTTCAACTTCCACTAGTGAGTGAGGACAAACAGTATTTGTCTTTCAATGCCTGGTTCATTCCACTTGGCATTGTTATTTTAACGTGTTTTTTATTTTCATTTATTTGCTGTGATTTTCAAGTCACCAGGTCTGGGACTCACACCACGAAGCTGGCCATGCAGGACTCTAGCACCTTAACCACCACGCCACCTGCTGGCCCCTCATTTAGCGTGATTTCCTCCAGCCTATCCACGTTACCTCAGATGATAAGAGTTCATCCTTTTTATGGCTGAAAATATTCCACTGTATGTATATGCCACATTTCCTTTATCGATTTGATTTAAGGGCACTTACATTGAGAACCTTAAAACATTTACTTCCAGTTCTTATTTTTCCATCAACCCAAGATCCATCTTAAGTTAACACTCAATGAGTCGTCATCTTCTCACTTTTCTCTGAGAGGTTTAAGGCTCAATTTTCCCTTCTGCTACTATTATTCTCCATTTCCCAGGAGCCCGGGTGAGTGTGAAGCCGTGTGACCCAGGCCTCCTCCTCACTGCTCGACGTCTGTGCATTAGCTGCCAGGTGACCTGCCAGAACACGTACTAGATGAAGGACTGACATCCCCAATATACGAAGAACTACAAAAACGCAGCCATGAGAAACAAACCACCCAATTAAAAGTGGGCTGAGGGTCTGAACCGACACTGTGCCAAAAACACAGATAAGGCACAAAGACACAAGACATACTAACTTGTCATTAGTAAACTGCAGTGGGGAAAGAATGAGGTCCCACTACACCTAGCGGGATGTCTAAGTCGGGGAGTACCACGTCCGCATGAATGCAGACAACACAGCTCTGATCCGTCGCCAGCACCAATGCAACATGGGGCAGTGGCTCTGCAGAGGTGCTTGGTGGCTCCTCCCAAAGGCAGTCTTCTGTATGACGAACACTCACACGCCAGGCACGGTACGGAGACGCTGTCCCCATGAAAGCCGGCACGTGCGTGTTCACGGCAGCTTCATTCCTAACCACTCACATCTGAAAGCACTCAAGATGTCCTGTGGAGCGGAAAATGGGTAAGCAAACTACGGCACCCCTGGCACCCCACACAGCTCGGCATTACGGCGCAGCACAAGTGAATGAGCTCGCAAACTACGGCACCCCTGGCACCCCACACAGCTCGGCATTACGGCGCAGCACAAGTGAATGAGCTCGCAAACTACGGCACCCCTGGCACCCCACACAGCTCGGCATTACGGCGCAGCACAAGTGAATGAGCTCGCAAGCCAGGGGAAGACACACATGCGCGTTAAATATTGCCAGGGGGAGAGTCCATCGGAAAAGGCTAAATATTACATAGTTCCAACTGCAGCGCATTCCAGAAAAGGTAACCCGTGGAGACAGTAAAAAGATCAGAGGCGGCCGAGGGCTCCAGGGCTGGATAGAGGACACGCAGCAGCTGTCCAGGGTGAGGAAACCGTTCAGCGCCAGGTTGCTTTGTTGACCGTGGCCCTCCCAGGGGACAAGGCGTGGAGGTGGAAAACAGTGACAGTGATTCCGACCCCTGCAGACCTAGGCCAATCAGTGGGCTTGTGTCTTAGTTTTTAACAAAAATTTTCAAAAAAAATAAAACATTTAAAATAAAGCTTGTAAATAAGAATATAAGAATATTTTGTACAGCTATACATAATGTCTATGGTTTAAGATTACGCACTGTTACAAAGATTTGAAAATTAAAAGTTTTCAAGATAAAAAAAGTTACAGAAAGCTAAGGTTAACTTATTACTGAAGGAATTTTTTTTTTTTAACGTGGGGTAGCCTAAGCACACGGTGTTTATAAAGCCGTGCACAGTGACACCCTAGCACTTCACACGCGTTCACCAGGCACTCGCCGACGCACCCACCGACCTGCACTCTGGAAGCTGCAGCCTTGCCAAGTGCCCTGCAGGGCGCCCGCCTCTCTCCACGGCACCTTCCCGGGCGTAGGTGTGTCTGGTACACAGCTGCTTACCCTGTGCTGCGGCTGCCTGCAGTGCTCAGTGCAGTGGCATGCCGTGAGGTTTGCAGCCCGAGGGCACATGGCCTAGGCGCAGGGTTGGCAGCACCATCTAGGTCTGCTTCAGTGCGCTCTGTGAGGGTCACACGATGACAACATCGCCATGCTTCTCATACTGGACCTGTTTTCAGGCAACACGACAGCACACTCAGGCGAGTGTGCACATGGATTCTGCCTTGCTGTGTTCGCTGAGAGGACCTGGAAACAGTACTGTCCCAGGACCAAGGAGCACACGCAGCGCCCAGAACTGGGGCTCTAACACCGTCCCAGGACCAAGGAGCACACACGGCGCCCAGACCTGGGGCTCTAACACTGTCCCAAGACCAAGGAGCACACGCGGCGCCCAGACCTGGGGCTCTAACACCGTCTCAGGACCAAGGAGCACACGCCGCACCCAGACCTGGGGTTGTAACACCGTCTCAGGACCAAGGAGCACACACCGCACCCAGACCTGGGGCCCCAACACCGTCCCAGGACCAAGGAGCACACACCGCGCCCAGACCTGGGACTCTAACACTGTTTTCCAATAAAAGGAACCAAGGCTTCTCGCAGAAATGGCTGACTTAGTTCAGAAACAGAAACACGGTAAGAGATGCTCAGAAAAGTCAGTGTCATAACATCTGCCCCTGGGCCATCGGGTGACATGGTGGTTAAGGCAGCTGGGTCCCACGTGGCTAACTGCATGGTTTGAGTCCCAGACCCAGGTACTTGTGAAACACACCAGGTGGGAGTGTGCATGCCCAAAACCCCAAATGGGGAGGAGAAAGATAAAGGCCGGGTGTGACGGTCTCCCACGGCGGGGTGGCTCCTCACATTCTCAGTCTCTCTGTTTCTCTCCAGTGAGTGCATGCCCTCTGACAAATTTTTAAAAATAC